TCAACAGCAACCTGGTGTGTAAGGTGTCCGACTTCGGCCTGAGTCGAGTTCTGGAGGATGACCCAGAGGCTGCCTACACCACGAGGGTAAGACACACACACATGCTGCCGCTGTCATGAACTAATGTTGTCTCCAGTTACAGTGTACCCTCCCATTGACCTCTACATAGTTCATTTCAGTCAATAAAACAATGCAACATGCACAAAATAAAGAAGTTGATCTGACCAAGTATCCATTTCTCTGGAAACAAGATCAGAGCTGATAGCAAACTTGAAAAAAACGCAGGAGACACACACAGATGTTCAGGACAAAGTTGACTGATCTCAATTTCACCAATTTATTCTTTTTATGTCACAATAACATAGCTAACATTTTGGCCTATTTGGCTTGTTTGACATGGCCAAAGTAAATTGGTAGAATTGAGATGAGTCAGCTCTGTCCTGAAGATCTACGTGTTTGCTAACTTTTTACCGAAGGGTTTTTAAGTTGTAACTTTATAAACTTAGGTTGAGCTCCACAGAAAATAACTTGAAGGTTTATTATTTCTAAAAACCCTTGCTTACCATTACTTAGGTAATATTCCCATTCATACGTATGAACTCAAACAATAGATGCTGCTCTTTACATTCTGGCAACCTCACTCCAATCAGGACTCAGAAAATGTTTATATTATATAACTTTAACAAGGTCCTTGAACAAGATATATGAACACAGAGGAAATTAACTGCTTTGCTTGTTTTTTACAATAGAAATGTTGGAAAATAACTGCCCGACCTGAATTTGTAAAATATGCTCAACACACTAGAAAGCTTCAGTTCTATGTCCATATGTGACAACTGACCTGACACCATGATAATATCTGGAACTTAACCTGAATAGAATGAATTCACGTAGACGACTCTTTGTCAAAACATAGGGCTCCAGAACTGAGTTACTGCATTACAGTTTAAGTTTTGTATGACACTGTGCAACTGATAAACGTATACAGTTCACAAAACTAAAAGTATACACAAAAGCAAGCTTTGTGTTTTTCCTTCATATGTTCAATTCAAATAAGTCTTTGGTAACATCACCATCCTCTCACAGAGCACAGAGAGAATGAAGAAACTCAACCGTCAGTGAGTTAAACCACTGCGGAGTAACTCATCTAAAATGCCCACAAGGAGATGGCATTATTCATATTCATAGGAAGTGTTGGGGATGTTATTTTTAATATGGCATTAGCATTGCCCTGGGAGGAGTGTATCAGCCGCTGACTGCTCTATTGCAATCACACACACACCCACTGATGTCAGGAGACCTAGATGGAGAGCTGCAGGCATGAAGCGGGGGAGAAAGGGAGAGGGCGAGGCGGAGATGGGGAAGAGACAGAGAGAGAAGAGTGTATATTAAATAAGAGAGGGAGAGAGAGAGCGAGAGAGAGAACAAGAGAAGGCAGGGGAATGATCCAGAGAGAGCAGTTAAGAGAAAAAAATAAAGAAAATGGGGTGGGGGTGGAAACAAAAGTACAGTGCCGAGCGACTTGGCAGCTTTGTCTTTTATTTGACTTTGACCAAGCAGAGATGGGGAGTGCTAGGTGGTGCAGAGGCAGCTGCCGCATGTTAAAAAGCTCAACTGAGCCCTATAGAGGTGTGGTGTACGTGTGTGAGTGTGAGGCGAAGCGAGAAAGAGAGGGCGGGGTATCTTACTGCCTATTGTGTCCATACTGTGGGTTTTATGGAATCCTTTTGATCTGTGCATCAACAACAAAGGCAGGAGCAGCATGGAGGAGGGAAAAAAGATAGAAAAGAAAGTCAAGTGTAAGAATAAACACTGGAGCAAGGGTAACCCTGTGTGTTGTTAGCAGATTAGAGACAAGTGTGTATCCTTAAGTGCTCTGTGGTTAAAGGCAACGCTGCACCAAGATTCTCCGCAGCCACCATGTTATAATTTGATCTGACAGCCCTACTCTGGGTTTATTATAGCCGCTAATAAACGTACTAATAAAGCAACATATTTACACCATTACAATATAAGAGTGTGCTGACTGTGTTGTAAACTATCTGCAGGGAGGGAAGATCCCCATCAGGTGGACAGCTCCAGAGGCCATAGCCTACAGGAAGTTCACCTCAGCCAGCGATGTGTGGAGTTACGGTATCGTCATGTGGGAGGTGATTTCATACGGAGAGAGACCCTACTGGGAGATGTCCAACCAGGATGTGAGTCACAAACACCATGTCGCAGTTAAAGTAACAAATGTTTTTCTCCATCTTAAGCTAAATTCTTAACTATAACAATGCATTTTCATAGATATTCTTATTTCCCTGATCACAGAACTTGATTTTGTCTCCCTGCAGGTGATCAAAGCAATAGATGAGGGCTACCGTCTTCCCGCTCCGATGGACTGTCCTGTGGTTTTGCACCAGCTCATGTTGGACTGCTGGGAGAAGGGACGCAGCGACAGGCCAAAGTTTGGACAGATCGTCACAATCCTGGACAAGCTCATCAGAAACCCGGCCAGCCTCAGAGAGCTGGCCAACAGCTCAGAATGGTCAGTGGGAGAAAGCTGTAAATGCATCCCTTTCACTGACTTGCACATGCTATAAGCATCCAAGGATGTCTTTTGTCATCACATCTAAAGTCAATATCATTTCATCAATCAGTTATTTCGTATTTGATTATATTATAGGAAGATAAGTACATGCATAGAAGACACTATTACTGATCTTATTCAGTTTTAAATAACAAACTTGAAGTACTACATTTGTATCTCTTGTCTCACCCAAGTTACATTCTCAAAGAAGAGGTAAGTATATAAGGTTGTGGGTTGGCATATACATATTCCCATATGCATTTGGATTTCACAGATCCCTAAAATATCATTATTTCTTTACATTTTACACTTCAGGCTAACAGGGTTAGAACCAGAACAGCATACAGAATGTGCAATAGAACATGTTTGAGTCCCTTTCAAAGATGATAGAAGAAAAAATAAGAAATTCCACCACAACCGAAAAGGCAACTGGGACTCAAGAGCACTGCTAACAAAGGTCTACACACCGAAGACACAAATAACAACGTGACCAGAAAGAATAGTCTCATAGACTATGGCATGCCTTTAATGGAACCTTATACAGCATGGTATGTAGAAGCACATTGTATCTAAGAGCAGATGCAATTTGTTCTACAAGGTATTAAGTTTGAGCATGCAAATGACTAAACACAGACATCATTTATATCAATTTATAGTAATGGTAAGCAAGCAAACAAGTCAAAGGGTCCAACAAGTAAAGTCATGTTCGCACGTCCTTGTGGGCAGTGGGGGGATAAATCATTAATCATACTTACCCATTAATGGGTACATAAAGTTATAGTTAATGTTTTCTTTTCACAGTGGATTTGAGTCCTTCTTACTGCAGTTGTTGCAGAATGAAAGCAATTCTGCCAAAATGCAGATAGAGCACCATGATTGAGCATTAACTGGCTCATCAGTGTGCTGCTGACACATCCTTATGCTCCAGAGATAAATAATTGACCTCAGCACCAACCAGAAACTTCTATTTGGCCACTCAACAGTACAACATTTCATTAAGTTGTGAGTGTGCTTTGTATCCCAGCAGGGAGGACCCGACCACCCCAGAGTTCAGTGTGAACACAGTGGATGAGTGGTTGGAGGCCATCAAGATGGGCCAGTATAAGGAGAACTTTTCCAGTGCTGGATATGTCAGCTTGGACTCAATCCTCTACATCAGCGTCAGGTACAAACGGCTGATGAATTATCCCAGTTAAATGAAACACTCAAAAAGGTCAACATTGTCAGTTAAAGACATGCTTTATACCACTCGAGTGCCATTTAAAATGAAACAAGGGGACTAACACAAGTATATTAGACATCCTCAGCAGCTGCGTGGCATTTGAGAAACAATGTTCTTTCTCTTCATGTGTCATTAATGAAAACTATTTATTTCTGTCTTTCTTGTAGTGAATTGGCTAAAATGGGGGTGAATCTTGCCGGCCACCAGAAGAAGATTTTGTCCAGCGTGCAGACCCTGCAGACCCAGGGGACGCACGTTCAAGTATAACAGTTTCCACAGAAACACACAGTGAGACAGAGCCAAAATGGATGCTCCGTATGAAGAGTTTCCCCACTTAAATGGAGTTGTTATGGATACTCTGTGCTCTGGGCCTCCATTGATTTTGAGACACCCTGAGTTGGAGACAACATGGACGCTTGACTCCTTCATCTCCTCGCAATTTCACCATTCTTCCTACCCTCGATGGGCACCACTGGCTTTAGCATTCAGTAACCCAGCCACCATTATGGAGCTACAAAGAGACACACGTCCAACAACAAGGCCACATCTAGAGCATCCCAGACCATTTCACTTCATATCAGCCAATAAAGAATTCTTAACAGAGGAAATGACAAAAAAAAAAGAATCAGAATATAATTATCATCACTGTCTGTGAGGTGTACAGTTGTTGTTTTTTTACTGTCATTTTGTTTCTGTTCTGAGTTTTCACCTTGAAGAGTTTAAAAAGGGTCAGAAGATATGTATATGTGTAGATATATGTTTATATGGGCTGTGTGTCCCACAACAGTAGAGATGGACCTAACGTTTGTAATGGTGGAGAGGTTTAATGGGAGTTATAACTTAGTACCGGTACTTGTATGGCCCCTTCCATTGCTCTCTTTATACAGAGAGTCAATAAGTGAGCCGAGATTATGGATATCATGAATGTGTGGGTGGGGTGAACAGGAAAATGGACCTTTAGAGATAGACAGGGATGTAGATTTTGCCAGCTCATGAAGGATGGAAGTATGAATCATTTGAATAGAGTTTTGACCAGGACAAGGGCTTCCCTAGTGACTGCTCTCAGACACACTTCCACAGCAACTAGACCCAGAGCACCTTTGCTAGTCTGCTTGCACTTTTGATGTTTATCGGGGGCAAATAAACAGCGGAAACTGCTTAAGCTGCAGTTACAGCACAGATACATTTTACTCTTCCATCACAAGCTGTCTATTCTAAACAACATTGTCTATTCGGCTGTCGCAGTATGATGTTGTTAGGAATATTTCAGCTTAAAAGTTTGCCTTCCGATGTTTCAGGTGTGATAAGAAAGTTATAGTGTTTCGTGTTAAGAAAAGGTGTTGCCAAGGTCATTCTAGAGTGACACTGTTGAGAAAGTGTTTATCCAGTGTTGTGCCATGTACAGTTAACATTGACATTTTCATCTGGGCAACATACCACCATTACTACTATACTCAGTCCTATCATCAGTTCAAACGGCTGGATGTTAACATAAGGCCAGTCTCAGTAATTACAATGTTTTGTTCAAGTCTTCTTTATGAAAAAGAGCATTGGAATGGACGCTTTTTTTTCAGCAAGAGGAAATATATATATACGCTGTGTAGACTTTCAGCTGTGCAACCACGAGAGGGTGAAAAGTACTTAAAAAAGATGATTTGTGCGTCTTGTACTGTCTCACATTCTTGTTATCAGTCAACCTATTTCAAGCATCACTAGTTTCAATCCATTACTGATAAGGTACATTTACAAAACAATGTTTACAGCAAATACATAAATAAATTGGTTTGTTGGTTTTTCCTTATCAGAAGGAAACTGCTGCTTTTCACATTAAATACAAGCTTAGATATGATGGGACCCTCTTTGTGTGCACTGCATTAATGGCACTGAACCTGCTTAAGCGTACTCCCAGACCCCAGTTTTAATATATGTGGTACTCTATAGGACCAACGGTGTCATATAGTACAGTATATATGATTGTATTATAGTGTAAAATATGTACAGAGTTGATTTCCAATGTTAGAATGTTTGTAATGATAACGATGATAATGACTATGATGTACTTTTATTGTGAAAAAGAGATTTCTGAAGTACTCGTTCAGGGGCGTGTCGTACAGGAGAAAATAGCAGGGAGGTGATTCGTTGGTCTGAACAAAGGAATGTAGCATGGTGCGATGCTTCTGCTTTGATTGACAGGTAACAATGAGTGCAGTTTCAACCATAGTGTTAGAATGAGTAGAATGGACTTTCCTTATTGATTCACTGGCTTCATTTGCATACGTCCCTTAAACAGTAATTACAAGCACTTTCTAAGCCTGTGTCCACCTACAAAACAACTTGTTAAGTGCTTTCTTGGTGATATAAAGATGGAAGAGGGGAGGTTGAGATAAGAGACATGCTCAAATTGATGCATTAGCTAAACCCCTCCACAAAGCAGAAATTATCCAATCAAATCTTGGCAACTATAACTAGGCACGACAGACCTGTCTAGCTTTGTATTTCTCCGCATGCTGAAGCGACTCGCATGCAATAACAGCTTGTAACTTGGCATTTAAAGAGTTTCCAGGGTGTTGACCTTTTGTTCAACCGTTCCTTAAACGCAACAGCAAAAGCATAAGGAATGGATTTAACAGTTTGTTTGTCTGTTCTATTATAAACTGCATGTCGGAATAACAAGTTTACCATCTTCAATAGTATTCCAACATCGCTTCCAAGGCCAAGGTGTTGTGATGAATATGAAAATAAAACCCTTTTTGACCATCTTTACAGGGTTTTCATTGATTAGTTAGCTACAGCTAAAAGAGTAAATCATGCCAGTGACAGTTTTCCTATAACTCAAAACGACTATGCCATTTCAAAAAAGAAAGCTTGACAGGCGTTGCAAGAGTAACTGTAGGGAACATTAATTTCCACCACTGTATAGCTTGTTACTTGTGCATTCTCTGCCCCATTGGTTCAGAATACAATACAAAATACAATTCACAGAGTCTGAAACTGTTGGTACATTCTACTCTTGCTAACTCTATGATTTCACTCAAGCGGACTACCCTTGACAGCTGGCCTTTTAGATGCCTTATTTACTGAGCTAGTGTTCTTTTCTGTTGCCCTATAGAGGCGATATTAAGAGTATAGTATATGTACAGGTAGTATTTATCTGTGTTCTTAAGATGACCTCACATCAACACCCTGGTTTTGTATAATCCCAAGACCGGCTCCAACAGCACCTTCACTATGAAGCAGAACCATGTCCTTTTTGTCCTTAAAACAGTGTAATGAATCTTAAAGCTGTAATTGCTGATTGGGAAACTATCCTTATTTATTTGATTTGTTTGATAGGCTGCTCTAAGTTGCAAACTATTTTCACATGCAGCAATCCTAATGCAAAGTCAGAATTAGAAATGTCACTCAGAAAATATTGCAAAAATGACCTCCCTTTGTACAATCTTTTACACTTAAGAGAGGTCAAAGTCCACACCTTGATTTCAACTCCAAAAAAAAGATGCCAGTTTTGTGTCACTATTCACCATCAGGGTTAACAATGTGGGTTTGTTTGCTTGATCTCAAATACAGTGTGTGTCCTCTATTCCCCACCAGGTCTGTATTGTAAGTGTTCATGAGTGATTCTCATTCAAAAAATGCAGATCTCTGTCTCTCTCTCTCTCCTCGTCCCTCTCTCTTATGCCACCTTACAATGCTTATTTGTCCCCATGCCAGTCTCCTCTGCGTTGCTTGTTGTAAAGGGTGTAGGCATTCTAATGTCTTTCATGTTGCTGTAATAAATATGCTAATATTTCTAATTTCTCACCTGAAGCCTGCAGTGTCTTTTTCTTTCACACATCCTCTGCCTATTTTCTTTCCATCACCCTCTTACAAACACACACACACCAAAAGTATGCGTGTCCTTTTGTACAATCCCACAGTACAATTACACAAGGACTACCTGAATATCACGGTATACAATTCTAAATGGCCCTACATGAAAGTGTAACAAAGCCCAAGCTTAATTATTTTTTGCAACAAAGCCTGAAGGTATTAACATTTGTTTTGGTGAATGTCTGACCAGTCTTGCAGAAAATCATAGCAGGACTGGAGAATTGAAGGGTAGTCTCATTTGTCCTCAGCTCTGCTCTAATGGTGATAGTGATGGTGAAATTCCCATCATAACATTCTTGAATGGCAAAATATGGTCGTCCTGCAACCACATCTTCATTATCAGTGTGTGTGTGTGTGTGTGTGTGTGTGTTCCTTAGTGAGAGATAATTCTGTCCCGGGGGAGGGGGAAGGTCAGTGACTCCTGGCCTTGGTTAACCCCTTAATGCACTGGTCCAGTCGCTGTCACTCTATGTTACCGCCATTATACCTCATTTACCCCATCATATTAGGCTCCATATTCCCATATCGCTCGCCCCCCTCCGTCTCTCTCTCTCTCTTACACAGCTAGATATACAAGAAATTCAGGGCCTGTTCTCCATTTCCTCAGTATCTCCTTTTCTGCCCTCCTCTTAATCTTTCTGCTGGCCTTGTGGATCCCCATTTTTTCCCTCCCCTATCCTATCCATTCTGTGCAGACAGACACAGAGAGGTTGTGGCTAGCTCTCTGACCTCAACCATCCCATTACCTCCTCGCTTTTTCCTCTTCTCCTAGCTTTCTAATTTTTCCTACCTCCATCCATCCAAAGGTTTTCTCCACATGCAGCTAGTATTCTGTCTCACTGATATCACCACTGGGTTCCCTTTCACATTAAATGGCCAATCCATAACTTGGGGCTTTTGTCTCCAGGTGTCTCAATAGGGAGAATGTCATCTAACATATTTACTCTGGATAACATGGAGTGGGAGCCAAAGGCTTAGGCGATTGATTCATCATGCAGCTGCTATTGGCTTCACGTGAAAGGTCAGGTGTCCCTATGGAGAACACTTTAAAAGGCCATTGGTGACTGATGAGCCTGTCATGTTTGTATCACATATAAAGCACAAGCACTCTGTCGCTCACTGTCTATATCTGCCTCTCTCTTCTCCGTGTTACTGTTCTCCCTTTTGGAGACACACACACTCTTTTTTTTCCCTCCCATGGGAATGGTAATTGGGCCCCTCTGTCATGCTGTCGGGTGGGTTTGAGTGTCCCCTCATGTGCAACAGCAGACATTAAAATAACACAAGAGACCAAACAGCCATAGATCCAACATGACCTCTGCAGGGTCAGCCATATGCGTGTGTGTGTGTCCGTAGATTTGTGAATCTGTGTGTTCATAATGCTTGTGAGACTTAAAAAGGTGCTCATGTGTGAGTGAGGGAGCGGCGCGAGTATCAAAAAGGGAGACGGAAATAAAGTAGTAGATAAAATCTGAACCAGAGGAAAGATTTCATCAGTCATTGGTCAAATTTGCTGGAGTTCCTGCTTTGTCGCTCTTGATTGCATTGCGTGTGTCCTCCCTAATCAAATATGGCCGAGTTCAGACAGGCTCAGTGTTTCGCGGTCGGCACACACACACATGCACACATCAGTGCTCTTGTGTCTCATGAGGTTTTAGTTTGCTATCAAAGCGATTTCCTGTCTCAAATTTTCATCAGTAATCAAAGTTCCTGATTGAATTTGAAAAGTGAGCCCAGCTCTATAAATCACATTACATGCCTCACTCCCATCGTGCCTGCTCTCATGAGCCACAGGAATGAGACGCCACCCTGGGTGTATGTCTGTGTCATGCTCTCTTATATCTCATATGTGTGTGTGTTCTTGTTCATGCAGTGGAACACAAAATGGATGTTGATAGAACTATGATTTGATCCGTGCAATTTTTGTTAGGACAGATGAAACAAAAAGGAGAGAAGAAAGTTAGAGATAAGACACCTGGGTCTGATTGTATGTGGACATAATTCTTGGCATTCATTCTAAGGTCAGCTGGATACCAGATAAGTTCAGTTTATCTGCATCAGTTCAGCTCAAGTCAGCGATGAAGTAAGACAAAGTGAATTTGTTTTAAAATAAATGCTTTTGTTTTTGCATGCAAAGACTAGTGAACAAGCCCAGTGAGGGGCTCCAGAAGGTCAGAGGGCTCAAACTAAATCCAACCCAATATTTCTTTATCTTTATTTGTTCCTTCATATTACAGCTTTATGCAGCCAAATGCTACAGCAATATTCTATTAAAATACAATACAATTTGGTAAAGCAATTTAAATGTAGAGTTTGACAGCAGAATAGCTCTGCTTTAAAAAAGGCCTGCATCTCTGGCTTTCATTACCGTTTCTCTATATATCCTTTGATTTTGGGGAAGGTTGTCACTCTCTTCATCTCCTGTATGAACTAAATGCTGAAATACAGGTGCAGTTTTTAATCAAAAACACAAGAATGTTCTGGTTCACCTGAGAAATGTCACTGAAACAAAAAAAACAACTACAAATGAATGCACTAGAAAGTAGTACCAAAAAGAAGATCAAAAAGAAGAATAAAGAGCTGCATAACACCTACACCGAGACTCAATACAATAAAGCTAAAATGACAACAAAGAAAGGTAAAACAACTCCAAAAAGAGTTAAAACCAAAAGTACAAAAAGATGGCGTAAAAAAACAAAAAGAGGTGCAGAACGTCAGAGAAACAAAATGACTAAATGGCTACTGTGCCCAGTCAGCCCGTTGCCTCATAATCCTTTCATGGTTGTTGGCACCAAATCAATTAAAAACTGTATTCTTTCCATACACAGTTTGACCGAGGTCAAGTAAGAAAAGATAATTAGCAAGAATACTGCCTGTATTGGATAGCTGTCACCACCTAAAATCAGTAACAGACTTCAAGATGGAGAAGAAGTAGATAGAGGGTGAGCCGAGTAAGAGGAGAGGAAAATAAATTGTGTTTGAAAAAAAGGTGAAGAAAAACTTGGAAGGGTTTGGAGGGACTGAGATAATATTGACCACATAATCCCCAACAGATGTGGAAATCACAGTTTAATGCCTGGCAGACATGACATGCTGAGCTGCTATTGGCTGACTCAAGAGGGGCTCTGACCAAAGACAAACTCGCTCTCGCTCAAAATGCGCTCTCTATCGGAGGAGAAAAGCTGATGGAAATCTAAATTTAGAGCAAACGTAGCAGGACCACATCTATTGGCCTATAAATTACTCAAACAGATACTCACAGGCTGTATATCTTCCCGGGGCTTAGTAACTCATATGGGGCAGTAGTGTCTATAGAAGGCTCATTTATTAAGTGTAAACATATGACTCATGTCTTCCTACTCAGAAATGTACAGGCCTTGCTCTACCCTTTTGTGGAATCTCATTATGTACCTGTGTGTGACAGCTGATTGCAGTGTGTTGCATGATGTCCTTTGTGTGTACATGTGTATGTGTGGAGGAGAGACATGAATGCTCTTTTGTACACATCGCGTGTTTATGTGTGTTTCCTATCCTGTATAATCAAACACAGCTCTTCAAGTGCCATCAATCAAGCTTTGATGTTACTGGGAAGAAGCCTAGAAACCACAGCATCCCTCTCTATGAGGCTGAGCGGGGGGGGGGAGCTGTTTTACTGTTGGGGGATCAATAGGAAATGTTTTTTAAAAGCAAATGGAGGTGTAAAATCTCAGGGGCCTGCAACATAAGTATGTGCATTATAACCTTTTAGAAATGTGTTTATATCAGGGTACTCGAGGTGAAAATTCAGACCGCCGTGGATCAACACCATTGTCTGTAACATCGAAGCATCAGAACAATATGGGCATTTCTCTATGTACTCATGCCTCTTTTAATATGCTACAAATTCTCTTCATCACATGCTCCGTCCCTCTTGCTTTGATTAGCATCTGAAGAGGATATGAGGTTATGGTGTTGTATTCCCAACCTTGAACAGAAGCACCATTTTATAGATCCAGTATTTACAGTACTGGGTGGTTTTGTTATATATGGCTCAAATGTGACTTTGTTATGTGTAAAGCGTTTTTGTGTAGGAATTAAAATACTTGAAAGTGGTCGGATAAAAGATGAATGGAATGCATATATTGATTAATAGTGCTATCTTACCTCTTGTTCACTGACGATAAAACGTACTGACTTATTATATCAGAAGAATCTAAGCACATCTGAAGGACTCTTTAACATGAAGACATGAGAAGTTAGGAGTCAAACCACCAACCCTTAGATTGACTGACATCTGCTCCAATCACTGAGCCAACGAAAACGTTTTTTTTTTAATTGTAATGGGATTGTCCACATGAAAAGAAACAATAAGATTCCACTATCTCACAAATTAACTTAACATTCCCTTCATGAAATGTTTAAATACAAAACACGTGTGAACTACTGTTTCAAAAGACTAAAAAAATTAAACTTTCTTCCCAAAAAAGACTTTGACAATCATTATCTTTGGTAGAAAGCCCTTTTTTTATCAAGGTTGTGATGCCTCCAAGTACATTGGGAGACCACTGAGTTAAGAGATTTAAAGATATGGTGTGGTCTCTTAATGTTTTCCAGAGTTGTGAATGGAAAGCACAGAACATGTTAGTGGTCTGTTGGAAGGACTTTTAAATCACTGGAAAATCTCCGTACTTGTGCCACCGTCTGTTAATAAGTGTAATTTGGTACACAACAAAAACATGCTTATAAGGTCATCTTTTGACTATCATAAGGCCGCCATTTCTGTACTATGGTGCCTTCCCTCCTGCATCTACCCCCCTCTTCCTGAATGTGGGTGAGTGGTGCTGCTGTTTGGGAATAACAGGGTACAGTATGGCTAAGTAGTGTACTGACGTAATCCAACAGTGGACTTTCCTCCAGACTGGTTGTTTTTCAATGGTCAAGGGCCAATAACC